AGTACAAGCATTTCAACCAAATGTAATTTATGCAATATTTCAAACCTTTAACCCACTGGGGAAAATCAACCCATGGCAACAGTTTAAAAGCAACCCAATTTTGTGGAAAAAAACAACAACCCTGCATCCAACATGAGCTGCAGAAGTGAGATTTGACTGATCACGGGTCAAAAGTAAGGAGAGATAACTGACAAGATGTTGGAGGATTTACTTCTCAACAGATCCCGAGTGCATTGACAAATATCTTTTATCGTAGGATGTGCTCCCTTTACACAGTGCGTGCGCGATCGCGAAATCGAAAGTAAATTACGACAGCGAGTGCTCATTCAAAGGGGATTTAAATACCCCACATATTGATAGCGCAGCCCTGATGCGCAAAAATGATATACAATATTAGAATGTTTGCGGAAGCGGACACAAAAATCAAAACGGGAAAAAAACACAAAAATGGGAGCGTGCAGTAATGGTCAGAAATTCAGCGAGAGCAGGATCAACAAGCCCCGGTGCTATCACGCAGCGGCGCAGTCAGTCAGTGAGAGCCGTAACAGATGACGTCAAATCTTGCAGGATTCCATAAATAAACTACGCAGAACCCCACTATTCGGACAAATATACATAATGAAAAGATGATACAAAATTTAATACCTTGGAAAATGGCATTTAAGACTTTTTAAGGGCCTTAATTTTCTCTAAATTGATTTATCAACTTTTAATACTTTTTAAGACCCCACGGACACCCTGTATATATTGGGAAATCAATTTTATTATTTTATTAAATATTATGTAAAAAATATTTGCAGCAGTTGTTATACACGTGTTATTCACTTAGCTTTAAATTAGTATCCGATGTGGATTATTTGATGGCCGGTAGACACACACATACACACATATATATACATATACAGATACATATATACATATACACACATACACATACACATATATATATATATATATCTATCTCTTGGCCATCAAATAATCCACATCGGATGACCACATATTATAAAAATGGTACAGTTTGTTAACATTTGTTAGTGCATTATGTTTAATGAACTAACAACTGAACAACAATTATGGTTCATTTAAAATCTTTAGCCATGGGTATTATTTTTATCCAAATAATTGTTTTGCAAACTGTAAAATGAATTCTAAGTATTCAATAGCAAAAATCATATATGGTGTTTTTCACTACTTGGCATTAATAAATTAATAGAAGAGGTTTTGGACCCCATTTACACCTTTATTTAGCACTGCGCGTGAATGTTGATACCAGGTGGAAATGGGTTTGAGACACAAACATGCACACGTGACTCACGTCTCTTTTCATCCAGCTGGTTGAGTATTTCCAGCAGCTGTGGGTGCATGTTGTTGATGGACTGAAAGAGAGAGAGCACAGCGCTGTCATTGGTGATGCTGCGGCCGCGCATGTGGTTGCTCTTCATGCGGTTAAGGAAGGTGGTGACAGCGTTCTGCAAGGCCTTCAGGAACTGCTCATGGTTCTCCTCAGATTCTCCATTCTGATATTGCTGCTGAAGAGACAGATGCAAGACATTCAGCGCGGAACATGATTAAATTTTTTTTTATGATTATCCATTTTCAGTGCTCAAAGTACCTCTACTATGTTGATGGGTTGGACTGAAGCGTGGCTTTCCACTGGTTGGCTGATTGGCACAGGCTCAGCCAGTGAAACTGGAGCAGGAGCAGAGGGGGTGGGACTCTTGCGAACCTCTTCCTGTTTCTTCTCCCAGTAAGTTCTATTTAGATAACGGGCCAGCTGAAAATAACGCAAATATTATTTAAATACACTGATTGGGTTTTTCATATGCTACCATTCAAAAGTTTTAGGTCATTTTTTTTTCATTAATGTTAGTTGTATTTAAATTTATGCTATTACACTGCGGATACAGATTAAGCATTCAACAATATATCTCTTTTTATCACTCTTTTTTAAAATAAAATGTAACTATGCATTCTGTAAACGTTTTTCTGGGTCCATTTACATTTTTTTTAAATAAGTCCTAAAAAGTTTGTTCTGATAAAAATGGTTGTCTAAACAAAAATACTTGATACTCTGCAAGAATGCATTAAATTATTCAAAAGTGACAAGACAAAGTAAAGACATAATGTTACAAACGTTTTCTATTTCAAATAAATTCTGCTTTTGAAAGAATCCTGAAAAAAGTGTCACAGTTTCTGTAAAAATATTGAGCAACACAACTGATTTCAACATTGATAATGAGACATGTTTCTTGAGCAGCAAATCAGCATATTAGAATGATTTCTGAAGGATCATGTGACACTGAAGACTGGAGTAATGATGTTGAAAATTCAGCTTTGCATCACAGGAATAAATTACATTTTAAAATATATTAAAATAGAAACAGTTATTTTAAAATGTAATAGTATTTCATATTAGTACTGCTTTTACAGCATTTTTGATCAAATAAGTGCAGCCTTGGGAAGCATAAGAAATTTTCAAAACCATTTTTTTAAAGGTTTTTTTGAACAGTAGTGTACATAATTATATTACAGTATTGGCATATTTACTGTACTAATACAAATTCTAAATTAAGGCCCCATCCACCAGGCTTGCCACGATAGACTGTGCTGACGGTGATACCGTTTTTAAGCCGCAACAACAGTTACGTCACTTTCCCACCGCGGCACCGACCCCCACCATTGTTTTGATTTTTTTATAGTAATAAAAATCATTTAGTTCAGTAAAAGAACAGACACTACAATTAAAAACTGAA